CGTTAAGTTTTGTGGTTTAAAGGTCCAGGAGCCAGGTGTGTTGTTACAATCCACGGTTTGGATGCAAATGCATGGCAAGTAACCTTTCAACATTTTGGCGGTTTGCCTTACAATTTGTCAGTACCCTCTTTGTCAGGTCAAAAAGCAAAACAAGGAGAACAACAACAAAAAAGAGAACACGAACAAAAAAACAACAGAAAAACAAAAACCACTGTGAAAGTAAAGTATCACCCTGCCCAAGCACCCAACTCAGAGACTCGTCTCCGGGCAGGACTCGAACCCGGGACCGCTCGACCTCGGCCTATATTTCTAACCATGCTTCTGAAATAACAAACACTGGGCAACAGCTTTTCAACTCAGTGTGGCCGGGAACTATTGAAATGTGTGTGTATAGAGTAATTGGACAAGTATATAAAATGAAAAATATATAGATAAGTAAAATGGGTGAGCAGTTACCAAAAAAGTTCCAGATGCACATTCGACACTGATTCGAGCGTCCAGCTCGCTAAAAGTAAAGATGTTTTGTAATCTGGTTCTTTCTTAGACGCTGGACCATGCCGTCAAATGACTTATAATGCTGCAGCGTGGCCTTTGTATACCTATTAGAGTTTGTAGCCAATCAAGATAGCATAACATAGAAAGAACGTGATATTGTTTATGTCATCCATCAGGCTTTTGACAAAGACTTCAACGACTGCAAGAGTTTGGTGAGTCCTCAGCTGACCAAGAAACAGAAAAAACAGATCCATGACAACATGGCGAAAAGCAAACTGGCACAGAAGAAGTATACTTTAGAGGACATCACTGAAATCAATCCGGTGCGTAAGCTCATCATTACTGATTAGCATCTAATCTCTTTTAACTACAGAATCAGGTAGAATCATCGCAGTTGGATGTAGCAGCTTTGACAAATGATTGGTACTCTGCGTGCAGTCTCCTTATTCTTTACCGCACTTCGGTTCAGAGGGAGGAGAGGTAAAAATGTCAAGGGAGAAATAGCATTTTACGAGGGTTTCATTAACGTTTTCAGCAGGCGGGTAACTGGTTTTCACGGCCGGGCAAAACGTTTTGAACTGAACTTTTTTATAAGAGTAATAACTTTCCTCTAGATGGTCAAACCAGACAGGCAAAATCATCTTCACGGCCGGTCAATTTGCCCGCAATTTGCCCGGTGCCTGGCCCTTAATGAAATCCCTGATTTAAGGAAAATATTTCTGGGTCTAGGACATGACATTGCCCAATTTCTTTATCACAACTGCGTTTTGGTCTTGGCAAAGAGAGCCTGATATCTTATTAAGAATGGCTGGTTTTATCAGCGTAATAGTTACGCTGCTCGGTTACTGTTCACTATAATCTCAGTCTGTGATGGCATGTAAGTGTGAAAGTAAATAACGAGAATTTTTCCTGTATCAGCTCAGCGTCTGCAAATTCTGTCCGGGACCTAACGTCCGTAATGCATTCAGGGAAAAAGGCAAGTATCTTTGTCAGGTCCACTTGCGGGGGGTACTCGTGCTAACTGTTCTAACGAGCTAACGCTGAAATGCCGAGAACGATGCTTGTAAGTTGTTACTCAACTACAAGGTAACATGACAATGACAAAGTAAATAAGAATGCGTATGTGTGAATGACAGGTGCCACTCAACTGTCACCATGGTCGCCGTGTCGGATCTGTGTGCGTTTGTGACAGCGGCTGGAGGACAAAGACTAACAACGTACCCAAGAAAGAGTTAAGGTTTATATATGACTGGTGCAATGTCAAGATCAAGAAGACCAAATACTCTCATCAAAGGGCTCTGCTGCTCACTGTATCCCTTATCATATACGAGATAGAATAGCCCAATTTCGATATATTAAAATTCAGCCTAAAACGATAGACCTCAGCACAAGGCTCCGAGAAATAAACCCCATAAAAAACTGTAGTTATTCCCCGGAGCCTCGTGCTGAGGCTGAATTTTTATATATCAAAACCAGTAAAAACGTGAGCGAGGCCTTCTGCTCTGAAATAACATAAATAACAGAATATCACGTCGCCAAGCTGTTGGAAGGAGACAAGCAAACAAGCAAATAAACACTAGTACAGAAAACTTTCACTTAGTGGAGCTTAATCACGGCATTTTGAGTAATTTTGGCCACATTCAAAATCACCGTTAAATTGAAGGAAAACTGAAAATAGTAGTTTACTGAGACAGAAAAGTACCAATTAAGAAATAGAAAACATGTACCGTGTTTCTATCGAGTTTTAGTAGAATTCTACTAGTATACTAATGCAAATGCTGCAATCTGATTGGCTGAGCTACTCGTATGCTACCAGCCATTATAGCTCACCACTAAATTTTCTCCGATTCTTATTGATTTAAATTGATCACGTGACGCGATAGTGTTCATCCGCGGAGAGACGCTATCAGCCCATAGTGCCAGTCCGCGGAAAATACCCGGATGGATAGTACTCGTCCGTGAAAAAATATGTTTCTGTAAACAAGCGGGCTTCTAGGAAATAAACAACTGAAATTGTATTAAGTGGGTTTTGTTCTGTTTTCTTTTTCAAATTTTTCATTTGGCTTTCACGGCTTTCATCCAAAAAGGTTGAAAATGATTCAATATGAGTTTTGACTAGAGCGCGGAAGAAAATTTAGTGGTGAACACTAAAGACAATAGAGTGTGTCTGTCTCTGAACTATCGTTTGGATATTTGCCAATTGGAAATTTGATATTCTTAAATAGCATATTTGCCCTCGAAGCTTCGCTTCTCGGGAAAATATTTCTTTTAGAAACATCAAATTTCCGCGGGGAAACTATCAGCCGATAGTTCCTCGACAGAAACATTCTATTGTTTAAATATAACAACTCTTGCAGGAACGGCATTTAACGAGGAACTGAGGAAGCAAAATGGAATGTATGTATAATATTGCATGTAATATTGTTTGTATAATTTTTCTGTATGTACTCCGAGGATTTGGAACACTGTTCCTTTGAAAATACGTCGATCCAGTACAATTTAATTATTTAAGAAAAAATTCAAGACCTCTCTTTTAACTAAATTTATTAAGAGTAATTCTTTATCATATTTTTACGTATTTTCCTAGGTATTTTTTTTTTTTA